TACGGCGCCTTTCAAAATTTGAAAATTTTGACTACTAATATGTGATGCTAATCAATATCCCCATGCGGGGGTGCATCATTATATATAAATTTCTATCTATTGAAATGCATCAAAAAAATAGGTTAGATAGTGGAGAAGACGGTTAAACGGGTCCATATTATTTCCCCGACATTTTTTTCTTCGACACCGACATCACGTTGGGTGATGATTAATATTTAAAATCTGATTAAGATTAGGAATCGACTTTAAATATTAATCATCACGCTACGTGATGTCGGTGAAATAATTGTCGAAAAAAATGTCGGGGTTAAACGCGTTATTGTTATAGGGGGATTTAGATTAATATATAAATTGATAACTAAAATTTAAATTTGAGGATCAAATTGGTGGCCGAATTTTAACCTTTGTTTCTGATTAAAGATCTACAGGGCCTGCAATTTATCACAATTACAGGGTGGAAGCCGGACATTAGCTAAATTCTTAAGAGTAAGCTCTAAGGGATTCACTCCGCCCAAATACCAGGTATTGTACGGGTTTTAAAATAGGCATTTTACACCCCATACCATTTTGGTTATCTATCCAATACTGATCTTTAAATTTAGAAAATAGTGGATATCTGAGGTAATTTCTTAACAAACGGTCATCGAAATGTAATCATTTAATAAAAATTTGCCAAGATTCGTCAAATTATTTGAATTTCGGTAGGAAAAATTTCCGATATAATATCATGATTATATTTGATTGACTACACTATTTCTACTAAGCAGAGTCCAGCATCAAAAATAACGTTAGTAATATCACGACAACTACATAATTAAATATCAAAAACTATTAAAGCAACCTATGTCTGATGCCTTAAAATAGTCTGCACTTCAAAAAAAAAAAAAACCTCTAAATCCTAACTCGAATTTTACTATATATAATAATTATAATAAAAGTGTATTATGTTAAACGCCATGAATGTATTTTATACTTTCTATTAAATTTGTGATTTTCGACCAGCGCTATTTTAAATGCTAGAGATAGCTGGACACTTTGATCTCATCCTCGCCATAATATCCTTTGATTTAAAGCTATACAAGCATACCTTATTTGGGTACGTAAAAAATATGTAGGAAAACTTTTTAAATAGAGTTTACCAATAGAATATATAAAACGAAGCGAGTTTCGAAAAATCGTTGCACGAATCAATCGACCTGTAGTCAGCGTTTAGAATTTAATTGTGATTCTTATAAGCATAAAAAAAAATATGCATAACTGCAGATATTCTTGCAGAACGAAATCTTTAATCTGTATTCAGCAGATTTCGCACATCGAGCTGCATTAAAGACCATTACTTTTCACTCCAATTTGTTTAATCTATGGTTTTTTTTTTGGAATAAGTGAGTTTATGCAACTGCTAAATTAAATAATGCACGAATAATCAAATATAGATATAGTCACTTCGTTATTGAAAAAAATAATAATGGATTTGGATTTTTGTCATACGTAGGATAGACTATTGAACCATTGGCCATTAAGTACAAGTTATTAGGCATGCATTCATGTTATGGTTGTTAACGGTTACATAGATGATTAAAAGCCTTAAATGAATGCGTAAAATAATTTTAATTCGTGCATAAAATCATAAGGTTAGGATGTAAATATTTTTGACTAAATATTTATACTGCTTATCATATTTGTAGTTCGTCCAATGCGTACATACCTATGTACTTACAATCAGTGTCTAAGAGTATCAAAGTGGGTTTGTGTAAAGTCAATAAGATCACAAATAATTGATGAATTATTAATTAAGGACAACAAACATTCTTAGGATCCTCGAGGGTTCAAATTAAGATTTTTAATTTTTTAATTGAACTGTAGTACCCTATGAAATATACAAGGAAAAAAACTTAATCCGTAAAATATTTGGATAACACAAATTTGTTACACTTTATTTTTAGTATGTCCTTAAAATGTAAATTCTTATGATTACACGGGGATTAATTTAACTTAATAAAGTCTTTAAAAAAGCAGCAACATTAACCAATATATCTTACCTAATGAGGTTTTCAAAATTCTAATGTCGTATTGTTAGTAAACTTTATACGTACTTATGTACAATAACAATTATAGAATGTCTGGGTTTTCGGAATATGGAAATCGATCCACAAATTTATTTGATTTACTATAGACTATATATTATCAATAGCATCAATGAAACCCAAAAAGTGTAGATTTTTAATCACAAAATTCTGAAAATGCAGTTATAAATAGCATCGTTATTCTGCATTTTTATTTTTTTTTTTTTTACCTTTTTTTCTTAGGAAAGTTCGAATTAACCTTCTTTTTGTTAACGAATCTTGATCATATAATTGAATAATGTCTACTGATCATCTTAACGTAGAAGTTAAACTTCATCCCGTTCCTAAATGTCTTTTGGATTCATCAAAAAAATCCTACCCCTCATGTTAGTTCTTTTGAACAATATAAAGAGCTTTATGAAAAGAGTATTACCGATCCTACTAAATTTTGGGGTGATGTAAGTAAATCTTTTTTTTTTGTTTAAAAAAAAAACAATTAGTTTGCGCATTAGTTACAGATGAATTATCTTGCAACAATTGATGATAATATACATAGAATTATTTTGCAACAATTGATAATATATAGAAATTATAACAATTTATATTTAATGATATTTAAAATTTGGTATATTTATATTATTTCGCGATTAATAGCTCGCCAATGAACTTCTTACCTGGGATACTCCTTTCCAAACCGTTCAATCAGGATGTTTCGAACATGGCGATGTCGCGTGGTTCCGTGAAGGTCGATTAAATGCCTCTTACAATTG